ATGTTTTTCTGACGATTAATTGCACACGATACGATTATGCCCAACCCTAATGCAAACCTCAGCAATATTTGTTTTTTTTTTTAAATATTTGTTTCTAAATAGACATCAAGAATTTTTTAATAGGTTCTGCAGTCAATTATTTTCATTTAGTCCATAATATTGCTACAACAGAATAACGATTTATCGGAATGCTTTATTATTTCCAGGGGGGAATTATTTGGTAATTTTTTGTAATTTAAGTGTTTGTACTGCCTGTGTGAACTCTGTTATTAACAAACATTAGTAGACTTAGTGATGAGTCACTCTCAAAATGCTCTGTGTAGTGAATCAGAAGCACCAGCTTCCCAATTTATTTTCCTTTCTCTGGCCTTGTGACCAGTCACATATGAAGATATAGGACATGGGTGGGCAAAGTTAGTCCTCGAGGGCTGTCATCCTTCACTTCACTTTATTCATTTCATTTGTAACACAAATTAACAAAGTGCAAAAATCATGCAATCGAAATAAAATCAATCCTCCGTGTTTCACTTGCTTCTCTGCTCCACACACCTGATTTCAATGAATGGTTGATTAATTGGCTTCTGCAAAACTTGAACAGTTAATTCAATATGTGATCAGAATTGCCCACCTCTGTTATCATGGACTGAAACTGACAAAATTAGAAATAAAAGCAGAAATATAAAAATGGCACAATAAATAAATGCACTTAAAATGCAAATTAAATAATTAATTAATAAAAAATTTTCCTTTCAAACATGACATTTTTTTAAAGTGCAACTAGAAACAGTTGCTGTATTATCAGTGAAACAACAAAACAAATGCAATACAGCTTCTTAATGACTTTAAAACATTGCCCCATAAAACATTTTCTGATACTCCGATAATTTTTTTAAATAATAAAAACATCTAAAAAATTATTTTCAAAAGCCTAAATCCAGCTACAACATCTTTCATTGCAGTTTTCTACATTTTCTCCTTTCATCAACTGGTTAGGATTTTATGTGGTTTCTCAGGTTCATTTTGTTTATCAGACTGTTGCTCCCAAAACACACAAATGCAAACATTTGAGCCAACTAGTCATTGCAATTATTATTTTTTTCAATATATGCTTATTGCATACATTGTTGCGATGAAGATAAATGTGCAAAATATTGTGCAGCCCTAGATGTAACACGGTGGTGAACATGCCCCTGTTCCAGTTTTTTTTTTTTTTTTTTGCAGGCATCAAATTCAAACTGAATGAATATTTTGTAATATAAGTTTGCTCATTGGGACATGAAAAATAATGTCTTTGTAGTGTATTCAATCGACTATAGGATGACAAGGATTTGCTAATCATCATTTTCTCTTTTCATTTGTTTTACTTAACGTCCCAACTTCATTGGAATTGGAGTTGAAGTAGGAGAGATCATTGTTTCAGTTGTAAAAGTTGCAAACTTTCAGTAAATGTTTAAAGATACCATTACATCAAATTTTTGTGGAAAATGTAAAAGCATTTTTGAAAAGCTAACATCAATATTATATTGAAAAAAAAATCATGCTGCTGAAATTAACAACTATTGAGATGTACACATGTTCAGCTACTTTAACATAGATAAAAGTAGTCGGATTAAACGGCTGTTCGGAATAAAAAAGTGTCATGTAAACAGCCCGTTCCGATTATTCTGATCCGAATGAATTTTTAATCCGAATGAAAAGGGTGGGTTATGCCCAGGGTTGCACATAAAAGTTTTGGTCTGGTTCTCAGGGGAGAACCTAGGGTTGTTGCTTGGTGCTCATATTTTCCTTCACTCATTTAACACATTTAT